GCAGAAATGAAAGCTGAATTGGCAGAATTTAAAAATGCTATCAATGAGATCCAATCTAATCTAGATAATCTAACAGCGAGGGTAAGCGAGGCAGAAGAATGAATTAGTGATTTAGAAGACCAATTAATAGACAAGAAGGGAAAAGAGGAGGCCAGGGGAAAACAACTCAGAATCCATGAAAATAGAATCAGAGAAATAAGTGACACCATGAAACGTTCCAATGTCAGGATCCCTGAGGGGGTGGAGAGAGAGAGAGGACTGGAAGATATATTTGAGGATATCATAGCTGAGAAATTCCCTAATCTGGGGAATGAAACAAACATTCGTGTCCTAGAGGAAGAGAAGACCCCTCCCAAGATCAAGGAAAACAGGCCAACACCTCGGCATGTAATAGTAAAACTCGCAAATCTTAGAACCAAGGAAACCATCTTAAGGGCAGTTAGGGGGAAGAGATTCCTTATGTACAGAGGGAGAAACATCAGAATAATGTCAGACCTGTCCACAGAGACATGGCAAGCCAGAAAGGGCTGGCAAGACATATTCAGGATACTAAACAAGAAGAACATGCAGCCAAGAATACTTTATCCAGCAAGGCTGTCATTTAGAATGGATGGAGAGAATCAGAGCTTCCAAGACCAGCAGAAACTGAAAGAATATGTGACCACTAAGCCGGCCCTGCAAGAAATGTTAATGGGGGTTCTATAAAAGGAGAAAGACCCCAAGACTGATATAGAACAGAAATTTACAGAGACAATCTATAGAAACAAGGACTTCACAGGCAACATGATGACAATAAATTCATATCTTTCAATAATCACTCTCAATGTGAACAGCCTAAATGCTCCCATAAAATGGCCCAGGGTTGCAGATTGGATAAAAAGACAGGACCCATCCATATGCTGTCTATAAGAGACTCATTTTGAACCTAAAGATACATCCAGACTGAAAGTGAAGGGATGGAGATCCATCTTCCATGCCAACGGACCTCAAAAGAAAGCTGGGGTAGCAATTCTTATATCAGACAAATTAGATTTTAATCTAAAGACTGTAGTTAGAGACACAGAAGGACACCCTATCATTCTTAAAAGGTCTACCCAAAAAGAAGATCCAACAATTGTAAATATCCACACCCCCAACATGGGAGCAGCCATATACATAAGCCAGCTATTAACCAAAATAAAGAGTCCTATTGATAACAACACATTAATTGTAGGGGACCTCAATACTCCACTCTCAGCAATGGACAGATCATCTAAGCAGAAAATCCACAAAGAAACAAGAGCTTGGAATGACACACTGCACCAGATGGACCTCATAGATATATACAGAACATTCCACCTTAAAACAACAGAATACTCATTCTTCTCAAGCGCACATGGAACTTTCTCCAGAATAGACCACATACTGAGTCACAAATCAGTTCTCAACTGATACCAAAAGATTGGGATTATTCCCTGCATCTTCTCAGACCATAATGCTTTAAAACTGGAAATAAATCACAAGAAAAAAATTTGGAGGAAATTCAAACACTTGGAAGCTAAAGACCACTCTGCTCAAGAATGTTTGGGTCAACCAGGAAATAAAGAAAAACTTAAACAATTCAGGGAAACTAATGAAAATGAATACACATCAGTCCAAAACCTATGGGATACTGCAAAGGCGGTCCTAAGGGGGAAATACATAGCCATCCAAGCCTCACTCAAAAAAATAGAAAAATCCCGAATTCACCAACTAACTCTACACCTTAAAGAACTGGAGAAAAGGCAACAAACGATGCTTAAGCCACGCATTGGAAGAGAAATAATTAAGATTTTTAGAGCAGAGATCAATGAATTAGAAACCAGAAACACAGTAGATCATATCAACAAAACTAGAAGGTGGTTCTTTGAAAGAATTAATAAGATCAATAAACCACTGGCCAGCCTTATCCAAAAGAAAGGACCCAAATTAATAAAATTATGAATGAAAGGGGAGAGATCACAACTAACACCAAAGAAATAGAAACAATTATTAGAAATTATTATCCACAACTATATGCCAATGAATTGAGCAAATTGGATGAAATGGATGCCTTCCTGGAAACCTATAAACTCCCAAGACCGAAACAGAAAGAAATTGACAACCTGAATAGGCCAATAACCAGTAATGAGATTGAAGCAGTGATCAAAAACCTCCCAAAAAACAAGAGTCCAGGGCCTGATGGATTCCCTGGGGAATTCTACCAAACATTCAAAGAAGAAATAGTACCTATTCTCCTGAAGCTGTTTCAAAAAATAGAAACAGAAGGAAAGCTTCCAAACTCATTCTATGAGGCCAGCATTACCTTAATCCCCAAACCAGGCAAAGACCCCATCAAAAAGGAGAATTTCAGACCAATACCCTGATGAATACGGATTCCAAAATCCTCAACAAAATCCTATCTGTTAGGATCCAACAATACATTAAAAGGATCATTCCACAACCAAGTGGGATTTATCCCTGGGATAAAAGGGTAGTTCAATATTTGCAAATCAATGTGATAGAACACATTAATAAGAAGAGAGAGAAGAACCATATGGTCCTCTCAATTGATGCAGAAAAAGCATTTGACAAAATACAGCATGCTTTCCTGATTAAAACTCTTCAGAGTATAGGGATAGAGGGCACATTCCTCAAGTTCATAAAATCCATCTATGAAAAACCCACAGTGAATATCATCCTCAATGGGGAAAAGCTGAGAGCCTTTCCTTTAAGATCAGGAAAACGACAAGGATGCCCACTCTCAGCACTATGTTCAACATGGTACTAGAAGTCCTAGCAACAGCAATCAGACAACAAAAAGAAATAAAATGTATTCAAATTGGCAAAGAAGAAGTCAAACTTTCTCTGTTTGCAGATGATGTGATACTTTATGTGGAAAATCCAAAAGACTCCACCCCCAAATTACTAGAACTCATACAGCAATTCAGTAATGTGGCAGGATACAAAATTAATGCACAGAAATGAGTTGCTTTCTTATACACTAACAATGCAAGTGTGGAAAGAGAAATTAGAGAAATTCCATTTACAATAGCACCAAAAACTGTAAGATATCTTGGAATAAACCTAACCAAAGAGGTAAAGGATCTATACTCTAGGAACTATAGAACAGTCATGAAAGAAACTGAAGAAGACACAAAAAAATGGAAACACATTCCATGCTAATGGATCAGGAGAATAAACATTGTTAAAATGTCTATGCTGCCCAGAGCAATCTATACCTTCAATGCCATCCTGATCAAAATTCTAATGACATTTTTAAAGTGCTGGAACAAACAATCCTAAAATTTGTATGGAATCAGAAAAGACCCTGAATTGCCAAGGAAATGTTGAAAAAGAAAAACAAAGCTGGGGGCATCACGTTGCCTGATTTCAAGCTATATTACAAAGCAGTGATATATTACCAAGACAGCATGGTACTGGCACAAAAACAGACTTATAGACCAATGGAACAGAATAGAGAACCCAGATATGGACCCTCAACTCTATGGTCAAATAATCTTTGACAAAGCAAGAAAAAATATGCAATGGAAAAAAGACAGTCTCTTCAGTAAATGGTGCTGGGAAAATTGGACAGCTATATACAGAAGAATGAAACTGGACCATTCTCTAACACCATTCACAAAGATAAACTCAAAATGGATGAAAGACCTCAATGTGAGACAGGAATCCATCAAAATCCTAGAGGAGAACATAGGCAGTAACCTCTTTAACATCGGCCACAGCAACTTCTTTCAAGATACATCTCCAAAGGCTAGTGAAATAGAAGCAAAAATGAACTTTTGGGACTTCATCAAGATAAAAAGCTTCTGCACAGCAAAGGAAACAGTCAACAAAACAAAGAGGCAACCCACAGAATGGAAGAAGATATTTGCTAATGAAACTACAGATAAAGGGCTGGTATCCAAGATCTATAAAGAACTTCTCAAACTCAACACCCAAAAAACAAATAATCAAGTCAAAAAATGGGCAGAAGACATGAACCGACACTTCTCCAAAGAAGACATACAAATGGCTAACAGATACATGAAAAAATGTTCATCATCATTAGCCATCAGGGAAATTCAAATCAAAACCACACTGAGATATCACCTCACACCAGTTAGAATGGCAAAAATTGACAAGGCAACAAACAACAAATGTTGGAGAGGTTGTAGAGAAAGGGGAACCCTCTCACACTGTTGGAGGGAATGCAAGTGGGTACAGCCACTTTGGAAAACAGTGTGGAGGTTCCTCAAAAAGTTAAAAATAGAGCTACCCTATGACCCAGAATTGCACTACTGGGTATTTACCCCAAAGACACAGATGTAGTGAAAAGAAAGGCCATATGCACCCCAGTGTTCATAACAGCAATGTCTGCAATAGCCAAACTGTGGAAAGAGCTGAGATGCCCTTCAACAGACGAATGGATAAAGAAGATGTAGTCCATATATACAATGGAATATTATTCAGCCATCAGAAAGGATGAATACCCAACTTTTACATCAACATGGAGGGAAATGGAGGAGATTATGCTATGTGAAATAAGTCAAGCAGAGAAAGTCAATTATCATATGGTTTCACTTATTTGTGGAACATAAGGAATAGCATGGAGGACATTAGGAGAAGGAAGGGAAAAATGAAGGGCGGGAAATCAGAGGGGGGAGACAAACCATGAGAGACTATGGACTCCGAGAAACAAACTGAGGGTTTTGGAGGGTGGGGGGGATGGGTTAGCCTGGTGATGGGTATTAAGGAGGGCACGTACTGCATGGAGTACTGGGTGTTATACAAAAACAATGAATCATGGAACACTACATCAAAAACTAATGATGTACTGTATGGGGACTAACATAACATAATAAAATAAAATAAAAATTTAAAAAATCTAACAAAATGATATCATAACAGTTTCAGAATTTTATAAAAATTAATATCAATATATTATTTATAATTAATGCCGTTATGTCATTGTTCATTATAATAAAGTTTAATTTTCTCTTCCAACATTCCTTGAACTATGAAGTAACAAACTTGTTATTTGATAGCTACATACTTGAAATATAGCTTAAAAAAATGTCTTATAAGCAGTATAAACATGTAAGCCTTAATGATACTCACAGTAAGATTTAGATCCTTGAGACAACTGGAAACCACACATGGCCCTCTGATTTTCATATCCTCCTTATTCTCATTTTTTATTTTAAACATTGCCAAAAATGGGTGAAAGTATTCGTACACATATCCAATTTTTTCACCAGGAGGAGCCTCAACTTTTAGCTACAAAAGATTGAAAATTGTAGTATTGATCAAATGAGATTTGTTTGATTTGTAGGCAACAAATTAGTTATGTGCTACCTATTAGCATTTCGTACATATATAAACAGAACTTTCTGTGTTTAAGGCATGCCCTATATTTGGGAACGGACATGATGTGAAAAAAACCAGCGTTTAGATATTGAGACCCTTCGGGTAAGACCTGATGCTGCTACTCAATAACTACCTGAAATGTGGACATATCACTAAATTCTCTGAAATTCATTGTCTATTTGCAAATGGGGGATAATAATTTTTAAGTGCTTATGAATATAACTTTCTAAATTGCCATGTCCGTAAGACATGCCTTAAAATATAGTCACATCGACAACTATTTTTATTACCAATATGACAAAAACTTTTGTCCCTGTAGGCAAATGTAAGTATGATTTCACTGAAATACTTTATGTTTATTGTGATTTAAAGCCCAATTCAGAGATTGATTGTTTAAATTATGGTATACCATACACATGATGGGTTATTATCCCGCCATTTGTAAGAATTGAAGAAGCCCTATACGTACTGATGTAATCTTCAAGTTATATTGTATATGTTAAAAAATTGTAGAAGTGGGGTACCTGGGGGCGCCTGGGTTAGTAAAGTGTTTGCCTTTGGCTCAGGTCATAATCCCGGGGTCCTGGTATCAAGCCCCGCATTGGGCTCCCTCCTCAGTGGGGAGTTTGCTTCTCCCTCCCCTCTCCCCCTTCCCCAGCTCATGCTCTCCCTCTCTCAAATAAATAAATAAAATCTTAAAAAAAAAAAAAGTGGGGCTAAGTGTCTGACTCTTGGTTTCAGCTCAGGTCAATGATCTCAGAATTGTGAGATCAAGCCCAGAGCCAGGCTCCATGCCCAGCTTAAGATTCTCCCTCTCCCTCTGCCCCTCCCCTCTCTCTAAAAAAACTTGTAGGAAAATATCTTCCAATTATGTTAAAAAGACATATGTATGCCATACATATGTATGCATTACACAAATACTCATAGATTAATTCTGGGAGAATATTTAAACTCATAAAAGCAGTTCCCTCTGAGGAATATAGGAGGCCTAAGAAACAAGAGTTTGAGAGGCACTGTTTCTCTAGAATATATTTTTCTTTCTTTCTCGCTCTTTTTTTTTCTTTCTTTTTCCCTCCCTCCCTTCCTTCCTTCCATAATATAGAAGTATTACTCATTTAAATTACAAATGAAGATGCTAAGTCAAGAAGGTGACAGTGGTGATGTAGCTTAAAAAAAAAAAAAGTAGATGGAAAAATTATAGCTCCACATCTCAAAATAGAAGTAGATGTAGTGAAACAAATGACAACAGCAAGATATTCCTGAGATCCAAGGAATCCAGATATCACTAACAATAAAGAAAGGGATCCCACTCAGTGAAAACTCAAAGGACCAGTCTGAGAAACACAGCTGAAAATGGGATGGGACTTCACAACCCCTAATTTTCTGGCACTCCATTCAATAGCTAAGAAGCACATGCAGAGAAATGCAAATAAAAACCAATATTTTGGAATAGAAAACTTCTAAAAATCTAAAGATCTTGTGATCTTCATTGCCTGAAAAATATTTACAGTGTTGTATATTATTCTTACTCTGCAGATACATATAGTACAAATATATAATTTTCTAATGTATTTCATTCCAGAAAATTCTTTGTAGCCAAACCCAGTCTTTTAACATACTGCTCAGTTTTGACGATTTTTGAAGGAACTCAAATTCATTCTAAATCATATAGAAATAATATTTACCAACCTTTTGTAGGTAGCAGTTTCTTAAAGCTTTATGCATAGTAATGACATCACAGCCTACATTATCCTAAATTGTCATGGTAAAAGATCTTGAAGGTCCACAGAGGTATTGGAGGAAACAATTACTTCTCTCTTCTGCAAAATAAATTCTCTGTCCTTGATTGTTCATGACTTCATAATTGGTACTAGTTTCAAAACAACTGAGAACTAAAGAATGAAACAATGTGGTGATTTATTAGTGGTGTGAGACTTATATAAATTGCCTATCAAATTACCTTCAAATATTGAACATACATTTGATAATAAACTGCTTGGCTTTAAGTCATTTTTCTTCACTGGTATCTTAGTTTCTCCTTACAGAAAAATAAAATAGATGTGCTTGCTACTCTCTGGTTCCTTTTACTGTTAAAATTCTTGCATAGCTTTTTTTGTATCATTTTTGAATTTCTGAGAAATTAACCCAATTTACTAGGAGTTATGTTAATTTTACTCTTCATCTTTTTCTTCTAGGACATGAAAAAGACATTAAGTGTTTAATCTGATAGAAATGAAGAAAAAGTATTTTACTGATGCTAAATTGAGAGACAATAAGCACTCTTATTCATCCACATAAGATAATAATCAAATTCATCTCTTTTACAAGCAAATGGAAATATTATATTTTATCCTAATAATTTTACTTCTGTGATCATACAAACAAAACAGTCTTAAATTTTTTTAAAAAAATGCTTTTCTCCCATTGTGTGGGTTGTCTTTTCACTTTCTTGATGATGTCCATTAAAGCACAAAAGTTTAAAGTTTTTTATGTAGTCCACTTTATCTACTTTTGTTATTTTTGTTTGTGCTGTATCATATATAAGAAACCATTCCTTAGTCCAAGGTCACAATGATTTTATTCCTCTGATTTTCCTAATAGTGTTAGTGTTTTAGGTCTTACATTTGTACCTTTGATTCCTTTCGAGTTAATTTTTGAGGTAGGGTCCAACTTTATTCTTGTGCATGTGGATATACAGTTGTTTCAGCACCATTTGTTGAAGAGATTGTGTTTTTTTCATTGAATTATTTTGGTACCCTTGTTGAAAATCAATTGGGCTTAAATATAAGGGTGTATTTCTGGACTCTTATCTTATTCCATTGAAGTATATGTCTTTCTTTCCTAAGTACCACAGTGTCTTTAGTTCGTAGAAGTTTAGAAAGGGAGAGGAGTGAGCCCTCCAACTTTATTTTTTTTCAAGATTGTTTTGATATTTTGGTCCCTTGAGTTTCCACATAAATTTTAGGGTCACTTCATCAGTTTCTACAAAAAAGCTAACTGTGATTCTGATAGAGATTAATTGTATCTGTAGGTCACATTTGGGAATATTGCCATCTTAACAATATCAAGATTCTAATTCACAAGGATCTACAAACTTTCATTTATTTAGATTTTCTTTAATTTCTTTCAACAATATTTTCTGATTTTCAGAATTTTATGCATCTTATAAAATTTATTCCTAAATATTTTATTTTCTTTGATGCTATTATAAAAATATTTTCTTTATTTTAGAAAATAAAAAATAATAATAAATAATAATATTTTATTTTAGTTCATTGCAAGTTTATAGACATATAAATGACTTCATTTCATTTATTGTAAATATTGCAATTTTACTGAACTCATTTTTTAATTCTAATAATATTTTAGAGGAGCCCTTAAAGGGTTTTCTATATAAGACTATGCCATCTCCAAATAGAAAAAAAATTATTTTTCTTTTCCAATTTTGATGATTCTATCTAATTTTCTTGCTTAACTGATCTGGCAAGAGCTTTTACTACAATGTTGAATACATTTCACTTTATTGTGCTTTGCAGATATCACATTTTTTACAAGTTGAATGTTTGTGGCAACCCTGCATCCAGCATGTCTATCAATACCATTTTTCCAAGAGCATTTACTCACTTCATGTCTCTGTCACATTTTGGTAATTCTCACAATATTTCAAACTTTTAAAAATTATTATTACATTTATTATGGTGAAATGTGATTGGTGCTCTTTGATGTGACTATTGTAATTGTTTGGGGGTGCTACAAACATTCATTGAGTAATGCTTTTTTGTGTTCTGATTGCTCCACCAACAGGCCATTCCCTCTTTTCTCTCCCTCTCTATTGGTCTCCCTATTCTCGGAGACATAACAATATTGAAATTAGGACAATTAATAACCCTACACTGACCTCTAAGTGTTCAAGTGAAAGGAAATGTTGCATGTCTCTCACTTCAAATCAAAAGCCAGAAATGATTAAGTTTTAGTGAAGAAGGCATGTTGAAAACTAAGATAGGCCAGAAGGTAGGCCTCTTGAACCAAATAGCCAAGTTGTGAATGCAAAAGAAAAGTTCTTGAAGGAAATTAAAAGTGCTACTCCAGTGAACACATGAATAAAAAAGCAAAACCGCCTTATTGCTGAAATGGAAAAAGTTTTAGTGGTCTGGATTGAAGATCAAACAAGCCACAAACATTCCCGAAAGCCAGGGCCTAATCCAGAGTAAGGTTCTAACTCTTCGTCATTCTAGGAAGGCTGAGAGAGATGAGGAAGCTGCAGAAGAAAAGTTTGAAGCTACAAATATTGGTTTATGAGGTTTAAGGGAAGAAGCTGTCTCCATAACTTAAGGTGAAATATGTGCTGATGTAGAAGCTGCAGCAAGTTATCCTGAAGATCTAGCTAAGATAATTAATGAAGGTGGCTACACCAAACAACAGATTTTCAATGTAGATGAAACAGGCTTCTATTGGAGGAGATGCCATCTAGAACTGATAGCTAGAGAAGAGAAGCCAATGCCTGGCTTCAAAGCTTCAAAAGACAGGATGATTCTCTTGTTAGGGGCTAATGCAGCTGGTGACTTGAAGTTGAAGCCAGTTCTCATAGACCATTTTGAAAATCTTAGGGCCCTTAAGAATTATGTTAAATCTACTCTGCCTGTGCTCTATAAATAGGAGAATCAAGCCTGGATGACAGCACATCTGTTTATAACATGGCTTATTGAATATTTTAAGCCCACTGTTGAGATCTACAACTCAGAAATATAGATTCCTTTCAAAATAGTACTGCTTATTGACAATGGTCACCCAAGAGTTCTGATGAAGGTGTACAATAAGATTAATGTCATTTTCATGCTTGCTAACACAACATTCATTCTGCAGCCCATGCATGGATCAAGGGGTAATTTTGACTTTCAAGTCTTATTATTTAAGAATTACATTTTGTAAAGCCATAGCTATTATAGGTACTGATACCTCTGATGGGTCTGAGAAAAGTAAACTGAAGACCTTCTGGGAAGGATTCACCATTCTAGATGCCATTAAGAACATTTGGGATTCATGGGGAGAAGTCAAAATATCAGCATAAACAAGAGTTTGGGAGAAGTTGATTCCAACCCTGATGGATGACTTTGAGGGGTTCACGACTTCAGTGGAGGAAGTAACTGCAATGTGAAAATAACAAGAGAACTAGAATTAGAAGTGGACCTTGAAGATGGGACTGAGTTGCTGCAATCTCCTGATAAAATTAACAGATGAGGAGGTGCCTCATATGGATGAACAAAGAAAGTGGTTTCTTGAAATAGGATCTACACCTAGTGGAGATGCAAGGATTTAGAATATTACATAAACGTAGTTGATACAGCAGCAATTGGATTTGAATAGATTGACTCTAATTTTGAAAAAAGTTCTACTATTGGTAAAAAGCTGTCCAATAGCATCACATACAACAGAGAATTTCTGCTTTTATGAAAGGAGGAGTTGGTTGATGCAGCAAATTATTGTCTTATTTTAAGAAATTGCCACATCCAGCCATCCCAACCTTCAGAAATACCACCCTGATTAGTCAGCTGTTGTCAACATTGAGGCAAGACCATCCACCAGCAAAAAGATCAGGACTCACTAGAAAGCTCAGAAAATTAGCATTTTTTAACAATAAGGTATTTTTAAATTAAAATATGTACATTGTTTTTTAGACATAATGTTATTGCACACTTAATAGACTATAATATAGTGTAAAGAGAACTTTTATATGCACTGGGAACCCAAAAAACTTATTTGCCTTACTTTATTGTGACATTAGCTTTATTGTGTTCTGGAACTGAACCTGCAATATCTCCAAGGTATGTCTATACAGGCTACCCTTTCATCATTGAGTATTCTTGGCTCCCTTATAAAAAAAGTAGTTGATCTTATCTGGATTTATTTCTGGACTCAATTATGCTCCATTTGTCTGTGTGTCTGCTTTTATGCCAGTACCATACTGTTTTTTTTAGGTAAAATTGGCAAATAAAAATGTAAGACATTTAAAGTGTACAATGTGATGGATTTGATATATGTATACATTGTGAAAGGATTTCCCCCCTTTGGGTTAGTTAACACATTCATCACCCATATATTTACTTGCTTTTTAAATGAGAACATTTAAGTTCTATTCTCTTATCAAATTTAAATTATATAATGTTATCAACTATAGTCACATATTATACATTAGATTCTCTGAAATTATTCATCTTATAACAGAAAGTTGATGCCCTTTTACCAAACTCTTTCTTTTCCCTACTCCTCAGGCCCTGCCAACCACCGTTTTGCTACACTCTGTCTTATGAGTTCAACTTTTTTTTTTTTTTTAAGATTCCATACACAAGTATACCATGCAATATTTGTATTTCTTTGTCTGGCTTATTTCACTCAGCATAACACCCTCTGTGTTTATGCATGTTATCACAAATGGCAGGATTTTCTTCATTTTTAAGACTGAATAGTATTCTTTTGTGTAATCTATACCATATTTTCTTGACCCATTCATTCACTGACAGATACTTAGATTGCTTCTATACCTTGGCTGTTGTGAATAATGCTGGAATTAATGTGGGAGTCTTCAAGATCAGAGTTTCATTTATTTTGGATATATACCCAAAAGGAAGATTGCTGGATCATATGGTAGTCCTATTTTTAATTTCTTGAGGAACTTCCATAATGTTTTTCATACTTTTTGCACAAATTTACCTTCCCATCAAGAGTACACAAATGTTCTTTTCTCCACATCCTCTCCAGCACTTGTTATCTTTTGTTTATTTCAAAATAGCTATTTTAACAGGTGTGAGGTGGTATCTCATTTTGGTTTTGATTTGCATTTCCCTGATGATTAATAATGTTGAGCACCTTTTCATGTACCTGTTGGCCATTTGTATTTCTTCTTTGGAAAAAAAAAAATCTATTCAATTCCTCTGCCCTTTTTAAAATGGGATTTTCTTTCCTGATAAAGAGTTGTATGAGTTTGTTATATATTTTTGTTATTAACCTTTATCAGATGTGTGATTTTCAAATATTGTCTATTTTCTATCATTCAGTAGGTTGCCTTTTCATTTTGTTGATGATTTCCTGTGCTGAGCAGAAGCTTTTTAGTTTCATGTAGTCTCACTTGTTGATTTTTTTCTTTTATTGCCTTTGCTTTTGTTGTCAAATCCAAAAAATCATTTCCAAGACCAATGTCAAGAAGCTTAACCCTTTGTTTTCTTTTAGGATTTTATGGTTTCTGGTTTTACATTCAAGTCTTTCATCCATTTTGAGTTGATTTTGTGTATGGTGTAAGATAATGGTCCAGTTTCATTCCTTTGCAGGTGGATACCAGTTTTTTCTGGCACCATTTATTAAAAAGACTGTCATTTCCCATTATATATTCTTGACTTCTTCCTTGAAAATTAATTGACCAAATATGCATATGTGGGTTTATTTCTGGGCTCTCTATTCTGTTCCATCTATGTGTCTGTTTTTATTCAATATCATACTGTTTTGGTTATGTAGCTTTGTATATAGTTTGAAATCAGAATGCCTCCATTTTTTGTTTCTCTCTTAGGATTGCTTTGACTATTGGGGGTCTTTTGTGGTTCAGTTTGAATTTTAGGATTTTGAAAAATTTGTGAAAAGTTTTTTTGAAGTTTGATAGGTGTTGCATTGAATCTATAGATGGCTTTTGGTATTATGGACATTTAAGAATGTTAATTCGTCTGATCCAAGAACATGGGAGGTATTTCCATTTATTTTGTCTTCAATCTCTTTTGTCAATGTCTTACAGTGTTCAGTGTAAAGGTTTTTCACCTCCTCAGTTAAATTTATTCCTAAGTATTTTGTTGTTCTTGATGTCATTATAAGTGAGATTGCTCTCTTAATTTCTCTTTCAGATAGTTCCTTATTAGTGTATAGAAACAGCACTGATTTCTGTATGTTGATTTTATATTCTGCAACTTTACTGAATTTGTCGATTAGTTCTAACAGTTTTTTATAGGAGTCTGTAAAATCTTCTATATATAGGATTATGTCATCTACAGAGACAGTTTTACTTGTACCCCCCCCCAGTATGAATGCCTTTTATATCTTTTTCTTGCTTAACTACTGTAGTTATTAGTTCAAATATTATGCTGAATAGGACTAGTGAAACTGGGCTCTCCTGTCTTATTCCTGATCTTAGAGGAAAAGCTTTCAACTGTTCACTGTTGAGTGTGATGTTAGCTATGGGCTTGTCATATATGGCTTTTAAAATGTTGAGATGCATTCCTTCTATACCTAATTAGTTGAGAGTTTTTATCATGAAAGTATGTCAGATTTTGTCAAATGCTTTTTCTGCATCTATTGAATGATCATATGATTTTTCATTTTTATTTTACTAATGTGGTATATCACATATATTGATTTGCACATGTTGAAACACCCTTGCATCTCTGAGATGAATTCTATTTGATTATTTTAATATGTTGTTTTATTTGGTTTGCTAATATCTTGTTGAAGATTTTTGCATCTATATTCATTAGAGATGTTGACCCATAATTTTCTTTGTTTGTAGTGTCCTTGGCCTGGTTTTGGTATCAGGATAATGCTGGCCTTATGAAATGAGTTTGGGAGTGTTTCCTGCTCTTCAAATTTTTGAAAGTTTGAGGAGGATTGTCATTAAATTTTTAAACGTTTGGCAGAATTTACCATGAAACCGTCTGATTCTGAGCTTTTCTTTGTTGGAATTTGTTTGATTACTGATTCAATCTCCTTACTAGAAATTGTTTAATTCAAACTTTCTATTTCATCATGATTCAGTCTTGGTAGGGGTTGCATGTTTCTAGGAATTTATCCATTTTAGGTTATCTAACTGATAGCATATCATCATTCCTAGTAGTCTCTTATGATTCTCTGAATTTCTGTGGTATCAATTATAATGTTTCCTTCATTTCTGATTTGATGTATTTGTCTTCACTCTTTTTTTCTTAGTCTAGCTAAAGGTTTGTTGATTTTGTTTATCTATTGAAAAAGCCAGCCCAGTTTTATTGATATTTTCTATTGTTTTTCTGGTTTTATTTCACTTATTTCTTTCTGATCTTTGTTATTTCTTTCCTTCTTCTAATTTGGACTTCATTTTTTTTTTAAATTAATTTGTTTATGTGTATAGTGAGGATATTTATTTGAGAGTTTTCTTTTTTTCTAATGCAGCTGTTTATTGCTATAAACTAGAACTGCTTTTGCTGCATCTCATAAATTTTCATATGCTGTATTTACAATTTCATTTATTTTAAGATATTTTTTGAACTCTTATTTTTTTGGCCCTTTGGTTATATAAAGTGTTTTGCTTAATTTTCATGTATTTGTAAAATTTCCAGTTTTCCTCCTGTTATTGATTTCTATTTTCATACTTTTGTCATCAGAAAAGATATTTGGTATAGTTTCAATCTTCCTAAATTTGCTAAGAATTGTTTGTGACCTGACATATAATCCATCTTGGAGAATGTTCCATGTGTACTTGCAAAGAATATGTATTCAGCTGCTGTTGGATGGAATGCTCTGTATATGTTTGTTAGATCCATTTGATTATAGTTCAAGTTCACTGTTTCTTTTTTGATTTTATATGTGGATGACCTATTAAATGGTGAAAGTGGAGTATTGAAGTCTATTATTATTGTATTTGTCCCTTCAGATTTGTTTGTATTTGTTTGATATATTTAGCTGCTCTGATGTTGGGTTAATATATATTTATAATTGTTTTATCTTCTTCATTAACTGAACCCTTTATCATTATATAATTACCATCTGTCTCTTGTTTATGATCTTTGACTTAAAGTTTATTTTGTTAATATAAGTATTGCTATCTCTGCTCTCTTTTGATTTTCATGGATTTTCTATCCCTTCACTTTGAGTCTAGGTGTATCCTTAAAGTTGAAGTGAGTTATTTATAGGCAGCATATAGTTGAGTTTTGTTTTTGTCCTCTCAGCCACTTGATGCGTTTTGCTTGGACACTTTAATAATTTACATTTATACTAATTATTGATAGGTAAGGAATTTCTAATGCTATCTTATTGTTTTCTGGCTATTTTATACTTCTCCTCTTGCTATCTTCCTTTGTGAATTGATGATGTTTCATAGTGCTATGCTTCGATTCTCTTTTCTTTATCTTTTGTGTATCTACTGTAGGTTTTTGTTTTGTTGTTAGCAGGAAGCTTACATAAAATATCTTATCGCTATACCAGTCCATTTAGAACTGATAAAAACTTAACTTCAATTGCATATAAAAACTCCATACTTTTATTTCCCTCCCTCAAATTTTATGTTTATGAAGTCACAATTTATCTCTTTTTATATAGTTTAGCAAATTATAGTTATTTTTAATCCTTTTGTCTTAACTTTTATACTAAAGTGATTTATACACTATCATATTACAGTATGAAAATATTGTGAATTTGATTATGTACTTACCTTTACCAGTGTGTTTTATATTTTTATAAGTTTTCATGTTACTAATTAGTGTTCTTCCATTTCTTTCATTGAAGAACTCCTTTCAGCATTTCTTGTAAGGCAGACCTACTGGTGATGAACTCCCTTAGCTTTTTTGGG